GCAATTACTTAATAAGTCATTTTTGTCTAACCATGTTGATATAAAAATACAATTTAGTTTTCAAATTATTTGCAGCTGTGTTCTTACTTGGATCAAGCATGCAATACCTCAGATGTTTACATTTGTTGCTTCAAGCACAGCTTTAATTCAATTTTTATCACAACATATCCTTCAAAAAGTTCTTATTATCTCAACACAGTAAGAAATTGATTTCTTAAAATGGGTGTACATAAGATCATGTTAGAAAAGGGAGACACTATCTGTTGTTTCACATGCAAGACTCACTACATGCCTCTGACACCACTATAAAAACTCTTATAATTTCAAATACAGATTCTTTATGATATTTACATTTTAGATTTGGTTATTTATTTCAGGACAAAGTTTAACACTCTTGGGAATCTTGGATTATCACAAATTAAAGTCTGAAAATGTAAAACAGGCTACATTGAACATTTTTTTTATTATAGACTATTTATTTTCTATTTCTCTCAAATTTGACAGACTGGCCACAAATGCAGATTTTTGCTTCTAACAAACCTAATAAATTTATGGATCCATTTTGTTAATATGAAATTAAATACAAATGTTTTATTAAAGTAAAATTTCAATAAGAACTTAGAGACAATAAGTTAGTTTAGAAAAATTGAGCATACTAATATTGTCTGTCAAAATAATACTGCTCAATAAAAATGAAGTTCAGCTTAAATTTAATAAGTCTTAATTTTAAATCAAACTACTTTAGATTTGGGTTTATTATCTACATATTTACATATTTCAAATTTTTTTCTGAACTCTACCTTCTGTCAGTGGCAAGAGAAACATCCTATGTCTACCTCTAACAACATGGACAATATCTGTTTTTCTTTCTTATCTTTTAAAATTTTAAATGCTCACATGAAAGAATCATAAACTCTGCCAAATATATACCTACACTTCAGTTTACAAAGAAAAAAGCATTCAGCACAGCAAACAAAGCCTGACCTGTGCTCATGACAGCAGGTGGTGAATGTCTTTGTGATCCTGGAGCCTATTAGCATGATCTCCTTCAGTGGCTGGATGAATAGGGACCTTCCTTTCAGAGGCCACAGTGAGTTTCACAAAAGCTTCTCTGCAGAAGAGGGCTGGAATGAATCCAGAGCCAAGCAGCTTTCACTAACCCACTGATCCTTTCTTTGGCTCCCCATCTCCACTGCCTATCTACCTCTCTCTGTCCCCCTACATCTTGTTTCCTGGTCTGGTCTTATTGCCTATGGAGAAAAACTACAATGAAGACAGTAAAAATATCCTACAGAAATGTATTGAAATGGGCCATAAGTGAAGAGCTCCTCAGCATGACCAGGCTTGCACTCACAGAAAATTCTGCAAGAACTTTGGCCAAAGATTAAGCACCAAATTTGTATCACCTCTGAGCATTGTTAGTCTCCAGATTTTATCAGGTCAGGGCATCTCCTCCCACCTCCCCTTCCAAAGTTCTTCAGATGCACAAGTGCTTCCAGGGCTGAAGTACCAAGGAGACACCCTCCATGTTGTATCTTCTTGTGGGGGTAGGAATAATTAACTTAAGCACAAGGAAGCATAACTGATATAACAATAAAAACCTATTTGTCCCAAACAGATTTATGAGCTAGCTTATTTTTTCTACAATGATTCTTGGAATTTCCCTACTTGCTGAGGTTCTAAAAGTAACCAAGTTAATTCATTCAAAATGACATTTCCAGTTCACCAAATCTATTGAAAACTTATGTCCAGCCAAAATGTTTGATTTCAAAGTCGAAAAAAATAACCCTCTCAAAACATTCAGTTGCCCAAGCAGATAATTAGGAACAAGGACTCTGAGTTCTACTCAGAAATATGAGTAATGACATAATGAGAGGCAAATTTGTAAGGATACGTAATATCCTTAAGTAAATCAGATTGAGCTGGAAAAAAATGGGCACAATTCTGGTCCTATGTGTCTTTTTTCCTCGGAAAGAAAATGCTAGTTTTATTTTAGCAATAACTGTTGAAGAGTAGAAAACCATAAACACTCATATAATGTTTGCCAGATAGCCAAGTTCTGGGTCATAGTTTGTAATTAAAAAGCTTGTATGAAAGAGGAATGAAAAGTAACAAATTGTGTATAATATTTTTTAAGAAATTAAGAAAAACTAAGACAATTAGAAAAGACAATAATGTAAAGGGTAGTAAAGCAGCAGGTTGACAAGGCGCTTTTCAAGCTAATCCTAGGAATTCAAATAACACAGAGAATTTTGATCAGAAAAACTTATTTTCTCTCTCTCTCTCTGTAAATCTTTCCACCCCCTGACCCCACAAAATGAAATAGCACCTCAACTTTTTGTCTCATAATGTCATATCCAATTTTTGCAAAGCCCAACATGGGGTTGTGGATGAACAGTGAACTGATGCTGGCACAAGCAAGACAATGATAGTGCTAGGAGAATAGGTAAGTGGCAGTCTCCAGAAATAGCCCTTCTGATTTTATATTAATACAGCAATTCCAATTCCCTCTTCTCCCTCCAGTGGCACAGCTCTCCTAACAATTAACAAAGCCTTTCTTACATCCAGACCAAATTGCTGTAATTTATTCTCCATGATGCTACCCTTGACGACTGCTTTAAAGCACTAGCTCCAGTAGAAAATGGTAACTGCCCTTGTTTTTATATTCCAGGCCATGGAAAACACATCACAGTTGCTTTCAGAGACTTGCCCCTTTTGCAGGTGACACTCAAGCTGTTTGCATTGTCCTAGAAAGACTTAGGAAATCCTGCTTGAATCTCAGGTTGCCAAGACGCTGAAAGCTCGTATGTACACTACTTCAGACAGTATTTTGAAGGTATAAGTAAAATATTGTCTTGCTCTTTACTAAGGTCATTAATAAATTAAGAACACGTGCAATATGAACATTTACAATATATTAAAAAAAGTGGTAACTTTAACATTTCATCTCTGTGACAAGATCTTGCTTCTTTTTTGACAAGTGACTACATTTTAAACATACACTACATTTTAAACAAACACTTCTTACTCAATTTGACACTGACAAGAAAAATACTCTTTTTGCCATCATGGCAAGGTGTCACTTAAAACTTGATTGTCAAGTTCTTACAACTCATAATTCAAAGAGGTATATCTGAAGTCATGTTGCAGGATTTATAAGAGAGCATTTTTCTTGCTCAGATAAAAAAAAAAAAAAAGGAATAAACAGATCAGCCCCACCCTGGAGGTAGAGGGAAAAGAAAATAATTAGGATAGAAATAATAACATTTTTTTCAGGAAAGAATAGACTAAGGGAGGTATCTGCAACATCTATGGATGAACTACTATGAGAAAAAAAAAGCAAAACAGCAACACTCTCTGCTCCACTAAAAAAAGAAACACACACTCTCATCCTGTATTTCACTAGGTAAATGAGATAAATAAAGTTGGCAAGCCAAAAGCTCCTACTGGTATGCTGACAGGCCTTGTTATGGCAGACACGAACTAGTTCTGCTCTCACTCCAAGGAAAAGGTTTACTCTCAGTGGACACAAGGACGTGAAGCTGTATTTGCATGACATAGAGTCAAATCTAATATTTTTAGCACCTCACCATAGAAACATAGTCACAGTAAGCCCATGTCAGGCATGGGCTCCATATAATTTACTGGGAGGTGGTAATAACTTTTCTTTACTGGCCAAATCACCTTCATATCATAGAATGCAAGTATATAATTCTTGGAGTGAATGTGTCACACCAGTTTGTAATACTAGATGCCCCCCACAAAAAATGCAGGTGTGACAGTGGCACCAGAAATTAAATTGAGTCCCCTTCCTAAATCTTTAGCTAAGGTGTAAGCAATCATTTGCACAGTGAAGTTTATGCTGTTCTAGCAAAGCAAAGTGCCCCAGCCTATTTACACCAGGTTACCTGAGGGTTTTAAAACAGCATTATATAATCAGAAAATGTTTACATTGAATTTTCATAGTAGATTCTACTAAAACACACAGTACTCCTTTGACCACTGCAGCAACAGAACTACTATAGGACAACGAGCTGGATTCTCCTCAACTGTTAAAAAATAATACATTATTTAGTAAGTTCCAGTTACATCTATGTAAATTTACTGAATATAACAGCATTGCAAAGGAAGCAATCTAGATTAATAGGTTGGTACTGCTTAAACTGAGGACTTAATTTTTGGTCAGTAGGGCCCTTCCAAACATAAAGGAAAAGAGTTCCACTTTCCTTTAAGATCCCACATTCAACCATTTGGCTTGGCATTTAAAAGAAGTACTTCAACTTTGAGAACATTTCACTCTTGAAGTAATTTGGAGACAAAATACAGTACGGAAAATATGTTCTACAGGTGGGACTGTAGACTACTTTTAAAAGTATAGCTTGCAGTAAAGTAAAGTAAATTTATCAACAAAATCAACAACTGGGAGAAATGGAGAGAAGTACAGGAGCCCATGTAAAAGAGTACAGGAGCTCATGTAAATCTATTTAAAGGACTTATTTCAGGTCTCTGTAAACTAATCACCAAAGCAGATTTGAAAACATGACAATAAAAACTATCTTAGCCAAATAAAAAGTTGAAAAATAAGCCCAGTTTATTCTCTTGGCTGTACACCCTAGACACTCTTGAAAACAATTTTTCTAATATGTAAGAAGGAAAATACTTTTTCTTTTAATAGGAGTCTGAAGGTAACGTTTTCTACGTTTTTATAAGCTTTTTCACATGGCAACATTGCAGCAAACATATGTCTACCATCTTTTTCAGCCCAAGTAAGACTGAAATAATTGCCACACAACATCTGTGAATTTAATCATGGTTAAATTCTCTGTGTGTTATTTGATCTAAAGAAGAAATTTAAATCTATAATAAAATGGGAAATACATATCCTGCCTACTTATCTCTGGGGCTTTTGACCAGAAGATGTCCTTAGTTACATTAACGAGAAAATATCTTTTAGCAGAGAGAAAAATTCACACCTGAGAAGAATAATAAAGGAGTCAAAGTAGCAAAAAATCCATAATGTTTTATTAACATAGGCTTCAGAGAAATAATACAACAGGAAAATTGTAAATAGTTGCATCAGAATAAATAACATTCTCCAAAATATTCACAAAGGAAATTGGTATTCAAAAGAAAAGAAGACAAAGCAGTAAGGCAGTAGCACTGTAAAGAAATTGTCAGAAATTGTTTTCTGACCCCAACACTGTCAGCCTTTATCTCAGCTTCAGAGAGGCAAAAGAACATGCATTTTCAGAAGGACACGCAAGCAGAGAAATGGAGAAAAGTACAAGAGCCCATGTAAAAGAGCACAGGGATTAAATCCCTGAATCATCCCTCAGATTTGCTCTCAAACATGAAAATAAAGAAGCTGGACCAGCTGCTAACAGGGTAGAACTTGCTTAGTTTCCAAGCATTTAGAAATTCATCAACTCTTCTTCGTATTCATTTTGGCATGTGTTTATTAGCTATATTAAATTCTTAGCTTAGGGTTTCATATACAGTGTTATCTTTGGCAGAAAATGAAAGATGTATGAACAATTTAAACACTGAACATTGATGTAAAATTGGATTGGCTTGTTACAAACTGATTTCCTCTCATCAAACTACGTGGGTGAAGGATGAAGAAACAAAATGCAAAAACGTGGTCAAAGTGGTGACATACTAAATCGTCTTCCAATCATTCTCAATAACTCTACAACTACAGCATGCTATCCTGATGGCCCCATCTGAGTTGATGATTTTTCACAATGTATTTCATGGCTTCCATCCCTACATGAGACTTTATTACTATCACATAGGAATAAAAAGCCATAAAACACTAGAGTGAATTTATCTTGATCAGATGCAATACTTATTTTCTTCACATGATTTCACCACCATTCCAAAACTAACCAATGATTTCATGCTACATTACTGAGCATTTTAAACTACATTTCAATGACAAGAAAGACACCGAAATGGTTACACTACAAATTAAAAGAACTTTAGCCTTTAAACACATTCCTACCTACGAGAATCAAGAAACGATCACAAGACACAACCATTTAATTCACTGATAAAAGACAGGACACCACAGAAAAATATCACTTCCACATACATCTTTCAAGACATAAGGAAAGACAAGAGACACGAAAGAAACTGGCAATGATAAATGCTATGAAAGCACCACTACCAGCATCTTTTTAAAACTATTTCCCATAGTAGCTTCCTGATATGCATTATAAAAAAATCAGACTCCATCACTAAGACATCTTTAAGACATCTGAGCTTAACTGCAGAAACAAAGCAAGATTCCATGCTTATGGCACTGAAACAGCCACTACCACAGAGCTGCTATCTCATATGACCCATTCATCCCTAGGACTTTTACCTTCTTGGCTATGATAAATTCACTATAACTCCAAAGTCCATATTTCTCCAGATGAAAGACCAAATGAGACAAATTATAATATACCCTTATTTTCTAAGCCAGAGCACAATACCAAGGTCCTGGTCTGAACACAGTTACTTATTAACGTAATTACTATTCATCTTCTTATTACTACTAATTGGCCAAGTAGAAACATAAGTCTCCAGGGTCATTGAAAAGTCAATACAATAATTTAACTGCCATTCAAAAATAATTTTGCTTGTACACTTGCAAGCAAACTAGGCTGCATCAGAAATGTTTCGTTAAGCTAAGAGCCTATGCTTTACCAAAAATATTTAACATTTTCCCAGCCATATAACCCCATTGACATGGGACCAATATTAATTCTGATCTAGTGTTGACACTAGAACTAAAAATTAACTCAGATTTGATTTATATACTGTATCCTTTCTTGCCTACCAAATCCTATGTCTTGCATAATATAATGTTGATAGCATAGAAAAGAGTGAGAAATCATTAAATGAAAGGAAGTGCATAAATAAATTCAATTATCATGCATAAAACATGCAAATGACTTAAAGACTGCATATGAAACTCTGGTTTACATTAATTAATCTCAGGTTGCACTTTTGAGGGAGAAGGAGACACTAATAGGATCCAGATTAATGCACTCCCAAACCTTCCAATTTGTTTTTAGGTACGGGTTAAAATAGATGTATTAAAATAAACACAGCTGCTCGCCTCCCCCAGCCCTGTTTCATTTGTGGAAGAAGGTGAAAACTAAAGTATATTGCAGGCTTAAGAATCTGGGCTTTTCCTGTGCTCCTCAAGACTGATGCTTACGCACCGTCACTCCTTTTTTTTTTTTTTTAACGGAGATAACTTCGTGCTGGAAACTATTCCAAAAACCAACTTAGTGACTTGACATGGAGAACAGGATGGGAAGTGTTTGGGCTTGCCTAATTCTGCCCTCTTCTTCTTCCTTCCCTACCCTGAATGATGCTGCAGATGGACCATTTTAAACTGTGTGCAGTCACACTTCTAAAAGGGGCTCAGTCCAAGACTGGTACAGTGTTTCCATGCAGCTCCATTAGGTGGGAAACAGGATTCGCAAGCGGACTTAAGCAGTCCAGCAGAAACACAATACATAAGAGGGGCAAATGTCTTTGACCTGCCACTGCTCTGGGTTTCACTGCCCAGGGATTCCCCCACAGCCTCTGCCAAATTATCCAGATATAAAAGTAGCAGGCCTGCAGCCTCCCCTTCTCTTTCCCACTGGAGTTGGGTGATGCTCCCGGCCACTGTCCTTGCCTGGGGGGTACCCAGGAACAAGCCACCAAGGACAAGATCAGTACCCACAACAGTGAACAAAGGGGAAGTGGCATTCCTAGGGGTGATCCTACCCCAAGAGAAAAGTAAGCGCATGGAAGAAAAATGCCCAGAAACAAAAAAGAAGGGAAGGTCCCATTCCCATCCACTGGGAGAGGAAGGTTAAATAAATCAAACAAAAAGGTCACCAAACTAATTTCGTACTGAAACCAATGAATTTGGATGAGAGGCCCAAAGGGGAAAGGTTAGGATGTTATCAGTGACATAATTTCTTTTTCCTTTTGTTGTAATGATTGGATATTAAACCCCTCCAACACAATGGGACACACTTTCTGAAGGGTGGGGGCAGCATTCAAAATCTTACATTTGTCTGGTTATTTTTGCGTGTTATCCTCCTGAACTACAGACATTAAATCATGAAAGCACGAAAACACATACAGGTAGACTCAAACATATATTGACACATATGGTTTCAGACACAGACTGACTTCTACTGACAGCCTGACTCAGAGAGCTTTTTATTAGAATTGATTTCTGTAGGTCTGCAGGTGCTAAATTCATTGCAATAAATAACAACAATAAGACTGAAATCTGTCAACATCTTGACAAATATTCAGAGAGCTATTTAGTTAGGAAATACGCTTATGATATTCATTGCTCCTAAAAGAGAAAATTATCATACAGTAACTAAACCCTAAGTAAGAGCTAAAGATATTCACCTCATGAAGTTATTTCTCAACTAGCCCCTTGGCACTTGATGGAATTATTCGCAGCACGAGCTCTACTTTTTCATTTTCTGTTGACTCCATGTGGGTACTTTCTCTCTTGTGATTAAAAGCGAGCTGCTCAATTCCTTCAAAGCATTTCCTTAGGTATGGTTGGATGTGGAGTGCTCCTTTGTCTCAAAAAGGATTCCTGAGAGATCATTGCTGCATCGAGAGGAAAAAAACCCCTGAAAAATGATAAAAAATGAACTTTAGAGGTATTTATATAAACATATTTTACACCAACACCATACAGAAAAAATGGACTGTTTACCTTGGAAAGAATAGTCTTTTTTCGCAAGATAATCATTCAAGGCCTTCCTGAATGTCATCCAAAAGCGATTCTGCTTCAACTTATCCAGCATCTGGGGCTGTGAGATAACCCTTGTGGCATCGGTCTCCTTCACTGACTCCTTCGTTATTAGCCTCCTGGTGGGTGAGATAGAATACAGTGAATGTAATAACCATGCTTCACACAACAGGCTCACTCTCTCTTTTAAATTGAAAATCCCCTTATTACAAAACAAGGGGTGTTCTTTTTCTTCTACCTTTAAGTAGGACTGCCACATTCATTGCTTTTTACAAAAACGCAGCTGCTTTTTAAGCTACAGATAAATAGAATCTGCTAGGCGGTAATTCTGCTCAGTCTGAATGCATTATTTTCTAAGTCACTTTGGTGAGGGACTTTTTATTATGAACTGGAATGAACAAGGAAAGTCCTTTTCTCAACTAATTATGACTACACTTTGTTCTATACTATTAACTTACAATGCCAGAATGGTCAGCTTTTTTTTTTTTTCCTCAACCAGTTCAAAAAATTAGCATGATTTCTGGGAAATTAGAGAGCTAATTATTAAGACTTTATAGACTAATGATCAAAATATAAATAACACAGAACAATGGTGTATCAATAACATTCACATAATCCCTTTGATACGTACAATGCAATCTACCATTTTAACCCCACTGATGCATGGGTGGGAGTTACTTTGACTCAATCGACAGAATTTTCTTCTCATAAAGATTTGTTAAACTAGATATTTTCAAAGAACTGAGGAAAAAGAGCAGAGCTGAAACACCATTTTTCATATACCTATATCTGGTACCCATTTTGTTTTCCTATTATTGGACTCCCAGTTTATGAAAACCAGGAATGACAGAAGAGAAGGTAAAGTTATAAAGATATCAAAGAAAAAAATCAGGACTTCTGTTGTTTCCCACCATAAGACATAATGTAGTATGTTTGATTTGAAAAATACTTGTGTTCTCTTTTTTTTTTTTCAATTAGCTACTTTAAAGAATGAATTAATTTGCAAAGAAGAATGTGATATTCTAAGTATTACCTAAAACTAGAATATACTTCTGAGATGTCAGAGCCTTCAGTGATCCATAATGCTTGGCTCTGACAATGTAAAACATACTCGACTACTTTCCAAGTGGACAACAACACATTTAGTTCAGTTGTTGTCCACAGCTCATAACTACTGGTACACAAACACTCCACTAAATGGAAGGCAAGCATTTAGATATTGCTACATAGTTCCTTTTATGTAACACATACTGGGCTGAATGGAATCCAATAAATGAATAAATAAATAAGAAAACTCTTTTGTCCTTAAAATTCATTTTCAATACTTATTTCTACCATCAGTATGGTAGAAAGATCTGCCAGCAGAACTGCTTCTGCCCAGCTTATGAATTAGAAAGAATCCTGGAGATAAGAACTTGCTCAGTAGAAAAAAACCCCTCACACTGCCATCATCCTAATATCCTACTTGCATTCAAAATAACCCCATTCCTATGTATTTCTGCCTGAAATATTATAGGGGATATTTATTGTACATTTTTCAAGCACCTACTTTAAGAAGATATATACATATAGCCAACAACAATGTCATTGCTTTGAGATGCTAAAACTTGCTACTTCCACGAGGCGTTCCTCAGTCCTCCAATACCCTTGGCAAACCATGAGCATTTTTGGGTTGCTTGTCTCCATATCTAGAGACCAACCTTAACCCTGGAAAATCAAGAGAAGCCTAATCCATGTAGACTGAAGAACAGTTGGTTCTACAAAGAAATAACTCTACATGTATCTGTGGAGCATTCAGGACAGGAGAGTAAATGAACGCATCCACATGAACATATTTTAGTACCACGCTCAGTGTTCGTGTACACTCAAGTATGGCCTTTCATATTATCTCTGAAACAAAGATCTCACATACTGCCAATTTAGGTATGTTACCTTTTGTACTAAAATAATAAAGGAATTTTGAAATGCTTATTACTGCTTGATTAAAAATTTATCTGAATCTGTCCATTTAGCAATATTTCTTTTCATGATATGACAGTAAGGACACTAAAGAAATAACTGTGAATGCAAGAAGGCTTACTGTTTTTCCTAAATTAATTTCAAAGATATCCTTAATAATTTTGTTGAGAATGCCATTCTTCCAGGTACACAACAGGCCTTCAGATTACTGAGTATCCCGCTATCAACACCACTAGTATCAATGGTGCACAATACCTTTTAATTAAAAATGAACTTTTTTCATTTTAGCTGAATCAATTAAAGACAATGTAATAGCCAGATTCCACCCTGTGCTCATCCTCTGCTGAGCACTCACTGACAGCTTTTCACAGAAGCCAAGGTTCTGGTGCAAAATTATTGAGTGACTTGACAAACATTACAGTCCTAGTAGAGGCCCATTTCCATACAGGGCAAGATCTATAATCTCCCAGTTTTGTACTTTATCTATCTGACCATGTTTCCCTACACTTCGGAAGGGAGAATCAAAACAAAAATTAATTCAGAAAAAAAAAATCAGCTTCACATCTTCACCAACCATTTTGCAGCTACTCCTTTCCCTTATAACTATATGTAGGTTGGCTGCATATGTCTTCCAGTGTATTTCTTCCATGATTAAAAGCAAGCATTTTACAGGTGCTTTTAGATATGCATGCACTTTGAATATTCCACAGGTCATTCAATAGCACATCAGGTATAACTAAACACGGACTTCATATTTCAGGGAAGTGTCAGTAGCAAAGCCCAGTTTTTATGACTTTCAAAATAATCTGAGAAATATTTTGCTAAAAGTGTTCTTTACCTGGTACTTATGTAGTACAATGAGAAACAAGACATATAGAAATGCCTCTTTATCACTTGAATGATTCACTAACTTACTGGGAGGCTGTGTCTCTATTGTTTCTGAGCTCACGTCACAAAAACTAAGTAGAAATCAATTTAAGACAATGAAGTTTAAACTTTACTTTCCCCCTCGGTATTCTAAAGTGGCAGTCAAGTTGGGAAAAGTTTCAAATAATGAAAGTCACTGAAGCCTAAATCACACACAATAGTGAAAGCTGAGATGCGAGATGGAGATGAAATCTAAAAGCTAATTAAATTCAACAAGAGTCTCTCAAAGGCAACATACCAGCTTACCCTCCCATGCTAACATTTCGTTTTGAAGGGTGCAGTAAATGGAGGGCCTTTCATGGCTGCAGATTTCACAATATGATCCACCAGCTAAACCTGAGAGAGGAGAGAAAAAAAAGATTAGATGCATGGATTACTGTACTGAATAGGTGCCAAGGCCAAGATAAAAAGAAAAGATAAGTTAGGGCTTCTGAGGAGCTGAATTTGAAGCCAACCAGCAAAACGGATTGAACTTTATTACCTCTAGTCACTGAGAAATTCCCTAGACAGTTGGATGTAATTTGAAAAGGTCAGAAAAAAATTTCCTTCACAGTATTATTGCTTCATGGTTTAAGGGTGTACCTTTGTGAGATGCCAGCTCTAATCATTTTTATTGACTTGCTCTAGAGGGACGGACAGATGCACAGGGAGTCAAGACGGACAGATAAGACATATCCTACCTTTGTTTCCAGTTCTAAAACATATCACAATATTAAGTATGTTTTAATGTTAATCATTTCAGTTTATCCTTTGCCATCTCAAAGAAGAATGTGCCTTGTTTCTCTAAGACAGCCACAAAAGCGGGGAGGGAGAGGAAGCCTGTGCATAATATTGGAAACTTGCTACAATTTTTCATATTTGATCAGAGCATTCATTGAATTCCACACGACTCTGATATATATAACTGAAATTCAGTAAGGGTAATGGGATTTTCTAGACATTTTTAGATATGCTCTGTTGATTTTTTTTTCACCCAAAGGGGAGCAGATCTCACTGAACAGGTTATAGGAATGACCTTCAGCATACTGACAGTACAAGCTTTACTATCAATGTGGCTGTCTTGGGGGAGAGAAACCCAACATACAAAAGGAAAAACGATAAAAAACAAAAAACCCCAAACCCACCCTCATTAAAAGCATTTGATTTTTTGACTTAGCATTCACAGATACTTGCAATCAAATATGAATATCTGCTAACATTACACTTACAGTCAATTTTTTTGTCATGCAATTAAAATCAAAAGAGATTTAACATCACAAAAGCAGAATTATCTACCCCAAACTCTGGAAAAGTTTAATTAACATTAGATTTTCTTCTTCTCAGAAGACGTTTGTCTTCTATTCATAATACAAGCATATGTATTCCCTGTATTCTGACTGAATGCACTGCAGAGGCAATTTTAATGGCCATTAAAGTACAGCTCTGTGAGCTTCTCTACTGTGTTATGTTTATGGAGCTTGCCTGCAAGCTGACTAAACCTTTTCCACTTGGATAAGAAAGCCATTTCCATCTGGTTATGTTCCCTCCCCTCAAGCCCCATACATCAGAGAGTAACATGAAATTGCAGCAAAAGAGTTGCATATATATTCATTCCTCCAGAACTTTACACCTCTGAAAGGAAATCAGAAAGGCTTAGCTGCAGTGAGGAACAAAAAGCACTGGGAATTGTTCCACTAATGGAAGCTGATACTTTCCATTGAAATGGACTACTCCAGACAGAAAATATGAATGGACAATTTAAACATAACACTTCTTCAACAATTTAAGAAGCTCTTGAAAGAAAACATGTGCACCTGTACATATAGAAAGGAGGCTGGGGAGAGGTAATCACCTACTAGATTTACAACAATTGATTTAGACTCTACTACTCTTATTTTTTTTAATCAGACTCCCACTGTTAACTTCAGGATGACGCTGAAACTGAAATAGGAATTTAGTTTTGTAAGATCACAGATGTGTAACTGCAGAGGTACCCTCCAGTTTCTGTCGTAACATGACAACATTATGATTTCTATTTTTTTTTTTTTCCAATAGGAGGAGTGACAGAGAAATTAAGTTCTGTCGTCCTCCTGATCTAAGGTCAAAGATGAATCCCCCCCCACTTATTTGTCATGGAAAAAGGGAATGTTTAAGACACAAATATTTAACATCAGAGACTCAATTTTAAAAAAATATTCCTCCATCAGCGTATTTCGATGCTATTTGCAACACAGTAACGTGATGCCACATCGTTCCATCTTTGCAAGACCCTCACTTCCTTTGTTTCTGTTCTTTTTTTTTCCCGTCTCCTCAAGAGCAGCACATGTTAACAGACAAGTAACTTAAACCCTGATTCATCATCCCAGATGTAGGAAGTATAGATCTTTTAAGATGTTCCATATGACATCCTTCTCACTCTATTTCAGCCAACAAACATGTGGGAGAAGTTGATCCTGTCTAAGCCCCACACAGAGGCGACAACACTCTCTCCCTTTTTGTAATACTCTTTATGATATTGTTTGCTTCCCATCTGATTTATCATGCTGAAGGTAAAATTGCACAAAATTCAAATTATTGCTAACTTGCACTGTAACGATAAGGTTAGTTAACCAATGAAACAGATTGCTCAGAAAGGCAAGAAGTTTTCAGTTTCTTCTAATCAGGATTTAATTTTAAACAATATTCTCACAGTTCAATCACAAGCTGTTTGGTTAGGTGCAGACATCCATTTCTGTTCTTTCCAACCTTTAAATCTATAGGGTTGTGACCCAAGTGGAATGACAGGTGGTGTAACAGGATTTCACCCCAGAAACCAGTAGGATTTCTGTATTTTTGTCTTTCTGTGTGTGACCAGGAGAATGCAACTTTTGTATATAATAAATTTGAAAATAAAGACCTCAAAATTCTGTGTTGTAACAATGACAGAAATTGTAGCTGCCTTTGTCTTGTGAACACTAGATTACTGAAACTCATTCAGCATATGACTTTAGCCAACTAAAAAAACATGAATCCACACAGTAATTTCTTTTTCTATTGGAAGTGCATACCCTGGAGATCTACAAGACAGGTATTCCATGTATGTCTTTCATTAGCTGACTTGAATGTATCATCCCCTTCATTTCTGATAAAAGCCCCTCCTCCCCACACATCTGACAGCAAAGTGAAATGCCATTTGTCCGTCCTGATAAAAAAAAAAGTTCCCTTACGACTTGAGGGAGGGCAGGATTCTCATATTGTTTTACCATGTCTAGATGTTGCCCATCTACACTTCCATTTTGTTCTGATCAACAGATATGCCTAACTGTATCACTCTTCCTAAGAGGAAAAAATCCCAATCAACCAAAAAAAAACCCAAAAAACCCAAAACAACAAAAAGCTGACTACAGAGCATGTCCCAGACACAATCCTAGTTTTAAATGAGCTCCAGTGTCACTTCAGCCTGCAGGAGGCCATGTTGTTCTCGTACATAGCTCACACAAAAGAATTAGATAACTATTTTACAGACAAAGAGGAAAGGTTTGAGAGATGGATATGAGTATCATTACTAAGATTAACTCCAATATGCAAAGTTAAGTGGCAGCTACCAGTTTTACTACTTCCAAGTACTCCAACAGGTCTTCTCCTTTATGAATGGAAAAGGTTGGTGAGCTTGTTTGTTTGGGTTCTTTTGGTTTTGTTTGTTTTTTTTTTTGTTCTTCATTCTTTGGAATATGTCCAAATATGGATGGTATTAAAGGTCTTTTCCAAACTAAGTGATTCTAGGATTCTCTGTCAGTTAAACATTTAGTAACCATTTTCTTGGTCTTAAAACCACTCTGTGATGTGTGTAATTTGAATTTTTTGTTATGCAGAAGAATTACAGCACTCTCAAAAAAGGCTGCAGTACACCTATTAGATGTAATGTTTATGTCTTGAATACCCACTCATTCTTAAAATAAATTAGACCTTATTAAAGACAAAAAGAAAATAAAAGGGACTTGTGGATTTATGATGCATAATAGTCCATCTTGTCAAATTCTTTCATCTGAACACTGATTCAGCTCCCAGCTCTAATATCGTTAAACTTAACTTCCAACAAATTAGGTTCGGGAACAATGCAATGCAATTGAAATACTGTATGCACTGCAGCAGAAAGAGATAACACTTTATGTATGTTTAGTGGGAAGAAAGAAAGAGAAAATCCTTCCTTGTTATTAAAGTCTTAATTAAAGGATCTCAAAAGTATACATAGGTATAGAAGAAATTTATAACCAAATTTTTTCTCTCACCATTTCAATAAGAAATTCAATGTTGGTTGATCACAGGGAGAATGCAAACCTGAACATTTGCATAATCAGCAGTTGCTATCACTTGAATTCTTCTGTCTTTCTAAGAAGAAAAGTAAATACCTCTTTCCAGTCAGTGCTTGTTTTAAAAGAATTCTCTAAAATGCAGTCCTTAATGATTTGGGCATTACACTTTGACCTTTAAGCCTTTTACTTATTTTTCAAGATTAAAATTTCAATCAAAAGTCAAAAAGCATCTCTAATCAGTGTATTATTGAATCCTCTCCAAGCTGTAGCCAGTATAAATAATTATTTGACAAAACTGAATCTTGATTTTTGTACATTTGTTTTTTGTTATTAGAACTGATTTTGGGACCTAGAACATGTGGGAGAGTAAACTGCTTGGCTGCCCTACAAAAATATAATGAAGATGCAGCCAAGGTTCTCCACATGCTGTTCATCATCAAGCGGAGTTGATATAATGCAATACAGACGTCACAGGTGTCTTTTTCAAATTTTATATTCGTAAAAGATTAGTATCTTTTTTTAGGCCTCAGACTTCACCCAGAGTGAAGTTCACTCTGCAGATTGTACTCCAAAAATTTAACTCTAAAATCATTTAAAACTAGTAGTTCTGGTAAGAAAAAATTTTAAGGCCAGGCTTTCTTTAACATCTACGATTAGTTTCGGGGGTTGATCATTTATTTAACACAGTTTTGGAGGACTGCTTTTGGCTTTCTGTGCTGACGGAGCACCGACCCCTCTCCAGCCCCATGAAAGCCAGAGAGTAGTAATATGCACTTTCTTTTTGCTGAATTCCCTTTTTTGTCAAGTGAAACCAACCTTTCCATTTTATTTTATATATATATATATTATATATATATAATAAATATATATATATAAAATATATATATATACACACACATATATAAACATGTATACATGTATACCTGCCCAAGAGTCTTCCATCGAGTTAAAAACTATGGTGTTTTGACTATTTGGTAGCTGTCCATGAGAGCCTTGCAACATTTCAATATTTGTTCACTTACAGTATATTTGGCTTTGACAAACAAGCACAACAGTTAAAATGAT